ACTGACATACACACACACATACAGACACATACACACAGACATACTGACATTCACACACAGACATACATGCATACTGACATACATACACACATAGATACTGACACACACACAGACATATATACATACTGACATACACACACACACAGACATACATACTGACACACACACAGACATACATACAGACATACACACACACATACATACATACTGACAAACAGACATACATACAGACATATATACATACTGACATACACACGCATATACAGATAGACACATACACACAGACATACACACACACACACACAGACATATATACTGACATACATACATACTGACAAACAGACATATATACATACCGACATACACACACACATACAGATAGACACATACACACATACATACAGACATACTGACATACACACACACAGACATACATACTTGCAGACACACACACACCTCATTTATCAGCCACCCTCCTCTTACCTTTAAGTTGCAGGAGGGTGGCTGGGGATGATGGGAGCGGATGCCTCTGGTGTGGTGTCCTCTCCTGTCCTTTCCTCTCCCTCTCCCCCGTGCGGAGCAATCTTGGAGGAAGTTACCGGCCATCACTTCCTCCCAGCAGCACTTGCTGTGTAGCCGCAATTTTTTTTAAAGGGGCCTGGTTGCGCAATTACACGCCCGCAGCGCTGTCCGGCCCCTGAAGATATAGGGCCCATCGGGTGGCCCTAAATGCTTGGGCCACCTGATGGGCCCCGGGACAGATGCACCTGCGGCAGTTTCGCCGCTCCACGTGGGGCCCGGGCGGCTCGGCCCCCCAGTGCCGCCGGGCCCGTGATAACCATTATGGTTGTCACCCCCTGATGGCAGCCCTGCCTGTGTGGGGTAGTGCTCACTGTTTCGGTAGGAGCTTGGTTGTGGGGAGACTCCCCGTCGTCTGCCTGTTGGGCCTGGGCTGGGGCTGGCGTTGGTGTTTGCAGCATCTGGTCTATGTCCCGTTTTGTCCTTGAGATGCTTGGTGGTGGTTTCTGGGACTTTCGCCCCATCTCCTCTGTTTTGGGTGAGTCCGGGATCGGGTCGATCAGGCTCAGGTCACTCCACACCTCGGGGGCCCAGTCTGCATCGATCGGAAGGCCTTCCACGCGGTAGGCCATGGGGCCGCGGCTGCGGGTTTTCTTAGTTGCGGCATGAAACAAAGGCATCGGCGGGTTCAGCAAAATGCCCTCCATCAAGGTCTGGCCCGCCCGTGGGTGGTAATGGCTCGATGTGCCCGGTATTTGGTGGATTAATTCTCGGTCTGTTGGAGCTGAGGAATATGGTGAATGCTCCGGTTCACTGTCAGGCTCCGCCCCCCGATGTTTTCCTTTTTCATATATGAACTACGGCAACCCTGAAATGAATAAAAGTAAAAGATGTTTTCCTTTTTCATATCTGAACTACGGTAACCCTAAAATGAATAAAAGTAAAAGATGTTTCCTTTTTCATATATGAACTATGATAACTCTAACATGAAAAACATCTAAGGTATAATAAATATGTGTACTTATTAAATATTAGGACAGAGGACAGATTTTGCAGACAGAGATGCTGCTCCAGGGGGGTGTGAGGGGGTGCCAAGCCAGAATCCGCTCCGGGTGCCAAATGCTCTAGGTACTCCCCTGTGGCTAAGATATCTGTATGGTTAGCCCTGCTAAGTTCTATGCTTTAAGACGTTATAGTGGTAAATAGGGGAACCAGCTGCGGTTACATTACCTCAATATTGTCTGACTGTAGTCCGAAGAAGTAAAATTCAGTTAAAATGACAGAATTACAAACTCATTAATTTTAACAAATTTACTAAACCTTATTTTGCATATTTACTAATGAAAAATCTGCTTGAAATGTACTGCTGAGTAGTGATATCCTGAACGGTTCGCCACGGACGGCGAACATAAACATAAACTTTGACCCTGTACCTCACAGTCAGCAGACACATTCCAGCTAATCAGCAGCAGACCCTCCCTCCCAGACCCTCCCACCTCCTGGACAGCATCCATTTTACATTCATTGTGAAGCTGCATTCTTAGTGAGCTGTCCAGGAGTGGGAGGGTCTGGGAGAGAGGGTCTGCTGCTGATTGGCTGGAATGTGTCTGCTGACTGTGAGGTACAAGGTCAAAGTTTATGTTTATGTTTGCCATCCGCGGCGAACCGTTCGGCGAACCGTTCGGGACATCACTACTGCTGAGTCTTTTTTTAAATTAGTTCAATGGCTATTCTCTATAGTGAGAATTCAAAGTGAATTTGAAATTCAAGGTAAGAAAAAGTCGAACTTGGAAAATTCTGTAAGTCAGCTATGCTTCCATTTTGGCTACTTTTGTATAAAACTTGAAATTCACTTTGAATTCTCACCTTAGTGCATAATTTTGTTCATTGCCCTCTAAACAAATCCAATAGAAGGCAAATTCACAATGTAAGGAAACCGGGTATATGTAATCCTCATTCGATAGTTTCCTCCCGAACCGCCAGAGCATCAGTGAGTATAGCTCTCCGTTCGGTAGTTGAAATAGACGAAATGTATAGTAATACAAATAGGAAAAGAAAGAAGAGGTAAAGGGCTGCGCTATATAAAAAGGTAATAAAAAATGAATAATAAGCGAATAGTAAAATAATATAATATACACAGTGTAAAAAAATAATATGAATAAAATTAGGATATAAAACAGACTCCGTGCACTAGTGGAGATCAAACTTTGAAAGTCCAATAAAATGCATAAAAAACTTCTCACTTATATGTGGATAAGCTGTGTATACAGTAATACAAATAGCTTTAAAAGATAATTTCCTTAATAAAGCACACGAATTCCCAAACATCAGCCAAAGTCAAGAAGAAGGGTACAACTGAACTGCCTTTAATGACCACACACAGGCTTTTATGCAAGTCCCCATGCAAGGGAACATCCCACAGGGAAGGACACAGTTTAACCAATCCGTTACAGTAAAAGCATAATTTTGTTCATTGCCCTCTAAACAAATCCAATAGAAGGCAAATTCACAATGTAAGGAAACCGGGTATATGTAATCCTCATTCGATAGTTTCCTCCCGAACCGCCAGAGCATCAGTGAGTATAGCTCTCCGTTCGGTAGTTGAAATAGACGAAATGTATAGTAATACAAATAGGAAAAGAAAGAAGAGGTAAAGAGCTGCGCTATATAAAAAGGTAATAAAAAATGAATAATAAGCGAATAGTAAAATAATATAATATACACAGTGTAAAAAATAATATGAATAAAATTAGGATATAAAACAGAGTCCGTGCACTAGTGGAGATCAAACTTTGAAAGTCCAATAAAATGCATAAAAAACTTCTCACTTATATGTGGATAAGCTGTGTATACAGTAATACAAATAGCTTTAAAAGATAATTTCCTTAATAAAGCACACAAATCCCCAAACATCAGCCAAAGTCAAGAAGAAGGGTACAACTGAACTGCCCTTAATGACCACACACAGGCTTTTATGCAAGTCCCCATGCAAGGGGACACCCCACAGGGAAGGACAGAGTTTAACCAATCCGTTACAGTAAAAGCATAATTTTGTTCTTTGCCCTCTAAACAAATCCAATAGAAGGCAAATTCACAATGTAAGGAAACCGGGTATTTGTAATCCTCATTCGATAGTTTCCTCCCGAACCGCCAGAGCATCAGTGAGTATAGCTCTCCGTTCGGTAGTTGAAATAGACGAAATGTATAGTAATACAAATAGGAAAAGAAAGAAGAGGTAAAGGGCTGCGCTATATAAAAAGGTAATAAAAAATGAATAATAAGCGAATAGTAAAATAATATAATATACACAGTGTAAAAAATAATATGAATAAAATTAGGATATAAAACAGAGTCCATGCACTTGCCGGTAACTTCAGTAAAGGGGTAAAAACCTAATAAAATACCGAATGGATTCCCCTGGCTCTCAGCAGCGATTGTTCCCCTCAGTCAAATGCACAAAAGTACCGAATAGCGCTCTTCTTGCTATTCGGGAAATATAGTTCCAGAGTTCGCCTGTTGCAGACCAGTGTTCGGGAAGTCGAGTGTCCGATTTTAGTTCCAGACACTCGACGACCAAGTCCCGCTGCCTTTGTTCGGCTGAAAAAAAGATGGCCGCGGTTTTCTCAGCCACGTGGCATTCGGTAGTACAAACGCTGGCCGCACAGATAGAGGGATCAATTGACGAATGCTTTGAAGCTTAATGAGCCAGGGGGGTGGTCTTTGTTCAGTAGTTAGATCTACCGAATGAATAAGGGAGAACTAGGGTGCATAGAGAGGGATTTCTTCACACACAAGAACAAAATCACCTGATTTTTTATTTTTAGGTTAAAATAAGTGTAGTAACAAATACGGCTCAATGGATGAGAAGAAAATCAAAAGGAGGAGTCCAAAGTCCTCTACCAGTCACCCACCTCCACTACTGAATAAGAACTAGGGTGCATAGAGAGGGATTTCTTCACACACAAGAACAAAATCACCTGATTTTTGCAGGAAAACCTACAGAAATTTGCAGTATTGGCCCACTGGCAGTACAAGCAGAAAGTAGGTATATGGTAAATGATTAAAATAACAATTAATAAAATAATTTAATAAATTATAGAATAAATTAATAATAAAAAAAAACACATAATAACCTTCATAATTATTCCGATAAAGGTATATGGGACACCTCTAGGACTTTACCATTACTTTCATGGAGTGTAGTATGAAAGAAGTGCTAATAACAGCACGTTTTAATGATAATATTTATGAAATACCCATTACGGCTGTGGTGGAATTTCACTGAACTTTCAACCCAGTCAATAGATATACTGAGACAAAGTAGGGACTAATTTGTATATTTATTACTCCTCCGTCTGAGTTAAGGAATAGTCTAAGAGTCAATTCCAACAGCAGTCACTAGTGACAGCTGCAGGGAATTGGCTGTCTATTGAGGTTCATAGACCTCAATGTTGTAATCTCACTCATGCGCAAGAGTACAGCAGTAATGTCGGCGCCTGGCAGTTGAAGAAGAACGATAAAGATGGCAGCGCCCCCAAGGTTCAGGTTCAGGTAAGTAATTTAACTTTTATCTGCCCACCCGACCCCCAGCGGTGATATGAGGGCCCTTTGCGAATGATGCTTTCACAGCATTTTTTGTTGTCTAATTCTATCATTTGGTTCTGGGTTTCAGCCCTTCAAGGTATTGGATTGTTTTGTTGTGTAATTCTGTCATTTGGTTCAGGATAAAACAGACCAAAAGCTGTACATCTTGTAAATCACATTTTGCAGTCAGAATGCCTCTGTATCTTGTTGCTAATGCAGACTGGGCATTAGTAGTTTAGTTTAGTCAATGTGACTGTAGAAGAAACACATAACCCTGTACTGGAATCTATCTGACATGGTGAAATTCTGCCTGCACTAGGACACCCCCTTGCGGTCACCATGTTGGCTCATCACATGTGGACATCCTCCTCTGGAATGGACTGACTCATGGAAGAAGCTCAGTCCGCCATGTTTGATGAGGGCAGAGGCACGCCAAACGTTCTTTCTGTTAACAAGGAGTCGGTTTGCAATATCCATGTCTCAGCATCTCATTATTCTCGTTGCAAAGCAAGATTCGAGTTTTTGACTTCTGTGCTTATAAATTATTTTTATTTTTCCTGTTATACTATGCCCGTTGCGTATTTGCGTAATGATGTGACGTCAGACGTACCGGGACGATGGCGTGCGTGCATAGGTCGGACTGGACTCCATCCGTAACAGGAAGTAAAGTGGGGCGTTAACAGGCGGGAGGCGTGACGTCACCGATGGAATGTTAAGCGAACGAATGCAGTGTGTAAGATGACGTCATATCCAATACTCTTGTTAATGAAATGATATGGATCTGATTTGATTCCAGTTTGCTCTGGTTGTGCTGGTGAACCCGCACAGCGTATCTGCCAGTGTGTGTGTAGTGTGTATATGGGGTGCCCATCGCCGGTCTGGGGACACTGACTGGGATTTCATAGACAGGATAGCAGTGCTGGCTGGGGGTGCTGGGGGTGGATCCTAAGTGGTGAGGGTGAGGAGGGGATTATTTGCTTAGTGTCTAGCAGTTGGTTACAAATTATTGCTCAGTAGTTAAGAAAGTGGTATAAGCACCATAACCACAATGTGCTGATGTCAGCTGACCCATTCAGCGAATTCATATCACTAATATAGAAGGGTAAGTTCCGCATTAGCCATTCCTGTGGGCTGGGGCTGGGCTGCTGGTACCTCTGCAACTCCTCATCTTGGTCAAACTATTTGAAAACTGTTTGACAAAGAACAAGGGCCAACAACCCTTAGCTTTCTTAGACTGTTCCTTAATGGTGCGGACATCATAACGTCAGCCTGGTGCTTGGAGATCCTTGGTGCTGTTGTACCATAAGGGGTTATAAACCAAAAGTTGTTTAGATGGTTGCTGTCGGCACTGCCCCCTTGATTTCTGGCGATGCCCAAGGCTTCAAAGATAAAGTCTTGGAGAAGCTGAAGACTGGACACAGCCATTCACTAGTTTCTCATTCAAAGAATGGTCAGCTGACGCTCTCATCAGTTGTGCCCAATTGCCCCACAATAATTGCTCTATAACCCCTTTTCAAGTGTCATTCTTCATCAAAATCTAATTTCAGGGTCTTTGTCATCCCAGCCCCTCCATTGTCTCTCCCCATGTCTTCTCTTTATCCTGAAGGTGTAGCACATTTGTAAACAGTAGTGGCTTCAGTGCCATCACTTAGTGCAGTATTTTATGTAGTGGTTATACTATGTTTTGAAGATGAAATGCAGGTTTACAATGTCAGTGGTATGCTAGCAACCTTTCATTTGAAATTTTATAATGCACGACAGATGATATTGAGTACATTCATCTATGTGAAAAAAAAATACTGATTGCTCTTTTTTTTTATTTTATTTTTTTATTTTTAGGTTAAAATAAGTGTAGTAACAAATACGGCTCAATGGATGAGAAGAAAATCAAAAGGAGGAGTCCAAAGTCCTCTACCAGTCACCCACCTCCACTACTGAATACAAAGAAAAACGCTGTGCCGGTCAGTAAAAGCACAGGCTTCTCAAATGCTGTGCCACAACCAGTGGGACAAAAACCAAAGCTGAAACGGTGAGCAAAGATACCATTGGCAAAGCAAGACCTGTTTTCTGATCCCAACACTCCATTACATGGAGTTGTTTGTGTGATTTGCATGTGCAAAATGTGTTGGTTTTTTTTTTTGTTTTTTTATATCATCATTACAAATTGGACAATAAAGAATTTCTTCTGTCTTTTTGGTTACATGAAGTGTTATTAAGGAGAAATCAAAGTCTCAGGGAGAAGCCAAGGGTGCTTCATCAGCTCCTATCCAGCATTCCTTCCTTACGGATGTGTCAGATGTTCAGGAGATGGAGAAGGGTCTCCTGAGTCTGTTGAATGACTTCCACTCAGGGAAACTTCAAGCTTTTGGTAATTTTACTGGTTGTTTATGTTTTATTCAGAATATACTTCTACAAACATTGATCTGTTCTATGGACTCTGCATTATTTCTGCACTAATTGATACTTAACAGCGATTAGGTAGTTAAGTGATTAAACCCATCACATTTTGGTTTTGCTATTAATCCAAAAGAAGGCACGAAATCCAGTTTGAAGTGCTTCCAATTTTGCTACAAACTAGAAAAAAAATCCTTCTTGAACCCAGAATGGCAGGCAGACATCTCCTTGGACCAAGAAGCTATTACCCTACTAATTAATTTTTTTTTTTTTATTCCTGAATATTATGTTTTTGCAAGTATTTATTCAATTGCTGTTTAAACATCTGTACGGACTCTGATAAAACCATCTCTTTCCACATCCTAATTGTTCTTACCGTTAAAAACTCTTTCCTTAAACTAAATATCCTTTTTTCCCGTTTTAATAAGTGACATTGTGTCCTATGGATAGTCCTGTTTATAACAAGATTTCCAGACAATGGTTTGTATTGGCCCTGAATATATTTGTATATAATATTTATCAAACTAAAGTAATTTAAAATTGTTAACCTTTCTTCATAACTAAAATTCTCAATTCCTTGTATTTTGTAGCCTACCTCTTCCCTTTTTTTATGCCATAATATCCTTCTTTAGAGCATGTGCCCCAAATTGTACAGGATATTCAAGTTGTGGTCTTACCAGTGATTTATAAATAGGCAGAATTATATTTTAAACACAAGAATTATACATGACAATACCTTGTTGAATGAGCTAAGTCATGATTATGTAATTCCTCTGTGTAAGCTGAGAGTTGCTTTCAGGACTTTGTCATTTTTTCAGGCAATGAATGTTCCATTGAACAGATGGAACATGTCCGAGGGATGCAGGAGAAGCTTGCCCGTCTGCATCTTGAACTCTATGGTGAGCTAGAGGAACTTCCAGAAGATAAACGGAAAATTGCAAGTGACTCCAATCTTGACCGACTACTTTCTGATGTAGGTTTCTAAAATGTCTGTTCTATTATGCCAAGTTGATTTAGTTGGAGAAAACATCTGAGGAAACCGTTTGGCAATGGAAGAAAATAATCCTACTGAATATCATGCTGTTAAATGTCTCATGACTGCATGTTAAGAGATGATATTTTGAAGAAACATCACTTAATTTATCTTTTAACTTTTTAGTAATCAATCTGCCAAAGAAAACATGCATGTATTTTTTTTACTGTATGTTTTCATTGGGGTTACATGAAAAATCAGCTGCAAACTTGCTGTCTGTAGCTTTTGCAAGCCCTCCAATTTCTCCCCAGCATAGACTTTCAGTCTCATTGAGAAGCCTGGAGCTACATGGCTTTCCAATGCTTCTCAGGGAGCTTCCGTACAGAGCAGGCACAGTCTAGATGGCTGGGGAGACATTTCTGCAAAGATTTCCTATTGAAACTGACACTTTTGTAAACTGTAAACTGTTTTAGAAAATGACTGATTCCAGACACATAAAGTGCTTCAGCATGCTGGAGTTATTTATGCTTCAGAAGTGTTCCGTTTAACATGTTCAAGTGCTTTTTTTGTAGCTGTAAAAATGTAGTTGTCTGTAATAGTGATAGATAAATGGTACATTTTACTTTTTAGTTGCTTATTTGTTTTCTTTTGTTTTGCAGCTGGAAGAGCTGAATTCTTCTATGTATCCTTTTTAATTTATTAAATGAAACATAATTTTATATACAGTTGTTTTTGTTGCAATTTAAATAGAAATTTTTTAAATATCACTTAGGCATAGTGCTGCTCTAGAGACATTTGAGACACCTGGTACATGCTGAGGTACTGAGTTCTTACTGGATGCCCCAGGGATGGGGGAACTGCGTTTTTTAATCATAGGACGGCACAAGATATACACATGCCAGTCTACTGAAAATAAGTGACAGTCATATTCTACTGCATGGAGGAGGAAGTCTGAACTAAAATGGTAATATTTATAAATAACAGCTTATCATGACCTGCCTGGGGCATGTATTTCTCCGTTCTCCCCTGAGATTTTGGAACCAGCAGTGTACATTGCCAAACCATGCATTCTTCCATATTGGTTATGCAAAATAATGCATGGATGTTGTTATCATCTGTGTGTGTGTGTGTGTGTACACACACACCTCCCCCCATTCCCGGTCCTGCCATTTTAATCCTGCAATGTAAACCATTACCATTGCAGTTTTTCTTTTTACATTTCAGGGTTAAATCCACCTCTAATGGGTGTCTCCCTGACAGCCACTTGAAGTGCTTCCACTGCAGTGACATAGCAAAACACAATCAAGTAATGTGGAGGCTTATGGGAAAGCATTAAATACAATCACTGAAAGCATCCATACCTCCTCAGTGATGTCGAGAACAGCTGAAAAATTTGTGAAAAGAGTAAGTAAAACATTTATTTTAATGGCACACAGAGGGGCTTGTGGACCTTTTTGGAACTAGAAACGGGGTAATTTCTAACTCTGTAGTGTTTCTTTGAGTATTTGCTGTAAAAGCAAAGCTATATCATACATGGTGGCATCTATTTTAGCGGTTTTCATTGATTTAGCTCAGGTGCAAGCAGAGTTAAAGTGGCAGCAGCTATAACATAAGAATGCAGCTCTTACTGATTTGAAACAATTGTGACATGTATGTCTCTATTTTGCCTGAAATGAAGGAATCCGAACTACACTATGGTGATCCGTACATTTTTCTGCATTAATCATCGGGAATAATTACACGGACAACATTCCTTACCTGAATCCAGTGCTGATGTCCTTTGGCACTGGATCAGGCTCCACCCATGCTCCCCCCACCCTGCCGACATCAGCCAGCAGGGAGACCTAATGCGCATGCATGGCAATGACAGCCACTGACGGCAGACTTAGAGCTGCAATATAAACATTGCAGTGATATAGATCCAATGTGATCTCACTTATATTCTGGGGAGCCCAAATTGTTATTTCAAGTGCACTTGGAGGAGCGTGAATTCAGACACCAGACATGTGTTGTTTATCAAAATAAGCCTCTGTCGTTTATTTATCAGTATGTGTTTTTATACATTAAAAAGTAAGTGCTTACGTGCAAATACTCATAGAACAGTAGTTGGAAGGGAGTGAAAGGAGTACAGATAAGACATAGGGATGAACGTCATGTTCATATAACAGATAAGTTCCGAGAAAGAACAGACTGATTTAGGAGAGACAGCTCAGGTGGGGGCTATCTGCTCCCGGAATTAGACATATACGGTCTTAAGTGTCATTTTAAGCATTAAGCATTTCCTGAGTCCAAGTTAGCCAATTTTAATAAAGACTATCTAATAAGACACCTATAAGCTTGAACCTTGGAATCAAAGTAAATTCTATCACAGCAGTTCTCTGGAACTGCAATGTTTAACATTGCATCACTAAGTGCAATAGGGACACAGCGCACAGACCAGATCAATTAGCAGAAGTGATTTGGGTGCCTACAGTGTCCCTTTTAAAGGAACATTCTCCCCCCCCCCCCTCTCCAATCCCCAATACAAATTCATCTTAGTGAAGTTATGAAGCAGGGAAGACTGGGCCCCATCTTACGATCAGGAGTTGGTTCCAAGTGTGTGACAGCTGCGTCTTCTCTCTTTATTCCTCTCAGCTGCAATCTACTCCAGGAAGGTTTGCCTGATGGCCAATGATGCTTATGAATTAAAGTTTGTTGTGTATATAATGCATGGGGGGGATAGGTGTTTTATACACTTGTAGTACTATATACCATCATGTCCATTGAAGTTTTTTTTTTTTTTTTACATACCCTTTTCCTGTAGTGTGTGGTTGTATGTTAATGTCATCCTGCCATGTGAGTGTGTTATCTCTGGACCCTGGATTATTTGTGTGCTAAGTCCCTCCCTTTTTTCCCTTTTACATTAGGTTCATTGAAATTGTAAATGTGCTATACATTATAATTGAACAACTTGTTTGTAAATAAGCAAGCTACATGTTAAAACTTAACTCTATCAAACAGACAAAAGCTGCACCTCGCTGATGCCCAAGATATTCCAAAAACAACTAACTGAAAAAATATCACACCACAGTCCTTCATTGTTAGATGCTTTTTACTCTTGTGTGTGTGTGCGCGTAAACAGTGTTAACATGACTTTCTCATTCTAATTGCCTGGTGATGAGATATATTTAAAACTGTTCATACATCATACTTGTGAATCATGTGTTTTTGTCTTTCCATGACCAGGCTGAAAACCATAGTATTTGGTATTTTGGATCACAAGGTAGATGAAAACTTCTCAATTTTCTGTGTGAGAATGTAAAATGACCTCTTAATAGTTTTCAATTTCTGACCATACTTGCACCCACCTGTGTGTTTTGATTTTACATAGACGTACTTGATGGATTTAGACATTTCTCTGCTCTTATGGGTCAGTTTTTTCTAGTATCTGTATATTACACTTTTTTTTTTTTCTCTAGGTAGGATACTGCAACTATGCCTTGCATGTCCAAATATCTGATTCTTTAGAGGAAAAGTGATGTGTGAGGGGAAAAAAAATATTTAAATTTTTTCACACATTAGACTAGCCATTGCTTAAATTGTGGTGGTGGATTTTTTTAATGTTATAGTTCTTGCTTTATATTTCTTATTTTTGTTTACTATAACACCAAAACTGCCTTCTATGGCACCGCCAAGGTATTTTGTACAGTGTAACCATTTTATTCCATGCTTCTCCAAATAAGTTCCTTTTGAAGTCAGATGGCCTCAACTACCCCACCTCATATGACCTCTGGTAAAAGGTGGCGTAACAGAACTTGGAAATAGTACTTTTACATTGGGGGATATTTTTAATATTATACAAAACTTCCCCTTGTTCAGATAACATATATGAAGTAATTAAGTATAGACTTCTACATGATACCTGACAGAACCATATATATATGTGTGAACATTGTTTACTGGGATAAATGCACTTTAAAAATGAACTTAAAGAAATCTGATCTTTCATATACAAGGATACTTTAAACTCACTGTTGTTCTTACTATTATGGATTTGTTTTACTCCAGAGTGTAATCACCTCAAGATTACAAAATTGGCAGAGTGGTCCATTCAGCCTACATATTATCGCTGTTTGTTAACATGCAGACAATCAAAATGCTACTGAATCTAATATGTATTGTATTTTTTTTCTTTTTTTTTATGTATATGGGTAGAATTTAACAATTTGCTATGTGTCTATTGTAAATATGTTCTACATGTAAGTAGGGAAGTATGCTTTTATGGTGTCATTACTTGAGCGTATTGACTGTTAAAGTTTTCGAATAAGAACAATGTTATGATAAATGTAATTATATGTGTACCAGCAAACTAACTACAGTTAAATATTGTTTAACTATGTTCATGTTATGGCCAAATAAACACAAAACTTGTCTTTATTTCTTGACATTTTATGTTTTACAGGAACAATGAAAATAATAATTCATGCTTATTAAAACATTTAAGTTATGACTGAAGCCTTTGATATTTTTTACCCTTGGAAATATATCAATTCTAGTACAGGCAAAGCAATTGTGGTTCTTGCAAATGTGGTGGGGGGTTGGGATAAGCAAAGCTTGCCATACACTGATCAGCCACAACATTGAAACCACAGCTTGCCATACACTGATCAGCCACAACATTAAAACCACTGACAGGTGAATTGAATGACATTGATTCTATCATTACAATCGCACTTGTCAAGGGGTGAGATATAGTAGCTAGCAAGTGAACCGTCAGTTCTTGAATTTCATGTGTTGGAAGCAGGATAAACGAGCAAGTGAAAAGATCTGAGTGATTTGATAAAGGCCAAATAATGACTAGGTCAGAGTTTCTCCAAAATGGCAAGTCTTGTGTGGTGATCCAAGTGGTGCAAGGAAGGGCAACTGGTTAACCACGTCAATACAAGGCTTATTGATGCACGTGGGAAGCAAAGTCTAACTCATCTGATCTTTTCACACACAGAGCTACTGTAGTTCAATTTGCTGAAAAACGGAAAGGACCACTATAGGCACCCAGACCACTTCAGCTCAATGAAGTGGGCTGGGTGCAAGGTCCATCTAGAGTTAACCCCTTAAGGACCGAGGACGGTTCAGGACCGTCATCGGCATTTTTCCCTTGCCGACCGATGACGGTCCTGAACCGTCCTAACGGTCAGAGCTACTTACCTGATCGCCGTCGTTCCCCCGGCGGCGATCAGCGTGGCTCCGGTTGTGGGGAGACTGTCTGCAGCCCAGACAGTCTCCCCACGGCAGATTAGGACCCCTGTGGCCATGTGATCGCTTAACACAGCGATCACATGGTCACAATAGGTGTCCATGTGTCTGCCTGCAGGGGGACTGTCTGTGCTGACAGGCAGTCTCCCTGCTAGTGTAAAATCAGTAAAAAAAAATAAAGTTAATGTTAATAAAAAATAAATAAATAATTATATAGGTGTATATATGATATATAGACATATATTATATATATATAATATATGTCTGTATATATCATATATATATATATATATAATGTCATACTAAGTATTTTTATATTAATATGTACTTATATTAATATAAAAATGCACTTATAATTAAATTACACACGTGTATATATATATAATATATATATAATAACTATATATATTGTATATATATTATTATAAAATATAAATAATTAAATTAAATAAAATATTTTTAAAATAATAAAAAATTTAAAAAAAATTATATAGCTATATGAAATTTTATTCTAACTGTATTTTAAAATTAATATATATATATTTATATCAAAATACACTTAGAATGAATTTGTATATATATCTATGTATATAAAAATAAATAAAAATAATAAGAAATATACATACGTCCATATACAAAATTACATAAATAATTATATAAATATACACGTAGACTTCAAATATATAAATATGCATATATATTTAAATTCTACGTGCGTATTTATGTAATATTTTTACATAATTCAGTAATTTTATTGATTGCAATTTGAGGGACCTGCCTGCCAACCCAGGCCGAAATTCCAGAGAATTTAATTTGCTAGCACTGTATTTTACCCTGTAGCGTTCTACGACACCCTAAAACCTGTACATGGGGGGTACTGTTTTACTCGGGAGACTTCGCTGAACACAAATATTAGTGATTCAAAACAGTAAAACATATCACAGCGATGATATTGTCAGTGAAAGTGACTTTTTTGCTTTTTTCACACACAAACAGCACTTTTACTGATGATATAATTGTTGTGATACGTTTTCCAGTTTTTAAACACTAATATTTGTGTTCAACGATGTCTCCCGAGTAAAACAGTACCCCCCATGTACAGGTTTTATAGCATTTTTGAAAGTTACAAGGTCAAATATATGGGTCAAATATTTTTACATTGAAAATGGCCAGGTTGGTTACGTTGCCTTTGAGAGCGTATGGTAGCCCAGGAATGAGAATTACCCACATGATGGCATACCATTTGCAAAAGAAGACAACCCAAGGTATTGCAAATGGGGTATGTCCAGTCTTTTTTAGTAACCACTTGGTCACAAACACTGGCCAAAATTAGCGTTCAATTTAGTTTTTTTTACTTTTTTTCACACACAAACAAATATGAATGCTTACTTTGGCCAGTGTTTTCGACTAAGTGGCTACTAAAAAGACTGGACATACCCCATATTGAATACCCTGGGTTGTCTACTTTAAAAAAAATATGTACATGTGGGGTGTTATTCAGAGATTTATGACAGATAATAGTGTTACAATGTCACTATTGATAAATTTTAAAAATGTATGTTTTGAAACCGCAATATCCTACTTGTACCTATAGCCCTATAACATGCAAAAAAAAGCAAAAAAGCAAGTAAACACTAGGTATTTTTAAACTCAGGACAAAATTTTGAATCTATTTAGCAGTTTTTTTCATTCGCTTTTGTAGATGAGTAAAAGATTTTTCAAGTAAAAGTCAAAAAACATGTATTTTTTCAATTTTTCATCAGATTTTTGTATTTTTTTAAAATTAAAATACATGAGATTATATAAATAATGGTATGTAAAGAAAGCCCCTTTTTGTCCTGAAAAAAACAATATATAATTTGTATGGGAACAGTAAATGAGAAAGCGGAAAATTACAGCCAAACACAAACACCACAAAAGTGTAAAAATATGCCTGGTCGCAAATGTACAACATCGCAAAAACAGTCCAGTCCTTAAGGGGTTAAACCTGCCTGCTGTAAACAAAGCTGCTTGCATTAGGGTATTCCAGCCTTTAGTGGCTCTCACTGACAGCCGCTAGAGGCGCTTCCGTGCTTCTCTCTGTGATTTTCACAGTGAGAAGACACTTGCATCAATAGGAAAGCATTGAGAAATGCTTTCCTATGGACTGATTGGGCACGCGGCTCTGGCCGTGCATGCGGCGGAAGAGGGAGGAGAGTCCCCAGCGCCAAGGGAGCCCGGTAAGTGTTTAACCCTTTCCTCCCCCTGGAACCTGGTGGGTTGGGGGACCTATTAACACTATAGTGCCAGGAAAACAAGTTTGTTTTCCTGGAACTATAATGGTCCTTTAACCCCTTGACGACCGATGACGGTTCAGGACCATCATCGGAAAAATACCCTTGGGGACCGATGACGGTCCTGAACCGTCATAACGGTCTGGGGCTACTTGCGCTCCTCCCGATCCAGGGGGACTGCCTGTCTGCCCGGACAGTCTCCCCTCGGCAGATCACTCGATCACGTGGCCGCAAAAGGTGCCTGTGTATCTGCCTGCAGGGGGACTGTCTGTGCTGACAGGAAGTCTCCCTGCAAGTGAAAAATCTAAAATAAAGTTAAAAAATAAAGCAATCAGTGTAAAAAAGTGTGTGTGTGTGTGTATATAATAAATATATATATCATACTAAGTGTATTTTTATATTTATATATACGTATATTAATATAAAAATACACTTAATTTAAATTACACGTGTGTATATATACAATATATATAATAACTATATATTATGTGTGTATATATTATAAATAATGTTAATAAAAATAAAGTAAAATGTTTTAATAATTAAAAAAATTATATATGTAATTTTATTCTAACAGTATTTTGATATTAGTATATATATTTATATCAAAATACACTTAGAATGTAATTATATATGTGTAAATAAAAATAATACGAAATATACATATGTCCATATACATAATTGCATAAATAATTTCATAAATATACACGTAGACGTCAAATATATAGATATGTATATATATTAAAATTCTACGTGCGTATTTATGTAATATTTTTACCTAATTAAGTAATTTTAATGATTGCAATTTGAGGGACCTGCCTGACAACCCAGGCCGAAAGTCCAGAGAATTTAATTTGCTAGCACTGTGTACATTGGGGGAACTGTTTTACTAGGGATACTAAGCTGAACACAAATATTAGTGTTTCAAAACAATAAAACATATCACAGCGATGATATGGTCAGTGAAAGTGAAGTTTTTTGCATTTTTCACACACAAACGGCACTTTCACTGATATTATTGCTGTGATACATTTTACTGTTCTGATACACTACTATTTGTGTTCAGTGAAGTCTCCTGAGTATAGCAGTACCCCACATGTAGAGGTTTTATAGTGTTTGTGAAAGTTACAGGGTCAAATATATGGCTTGATTTTACTTTTTTTTTTTTTTTTATTGAAATTTGTCAGATTGATTAGGTTGCCTTTGAGAGCGTATGGTATCCCAGGAATGAGAATTAGCCCCATGATGGCATACCATTTGCAAAAGAAGACAACCCAAGGTATTGCAAATGGGGTATGTTCAGCCGTTTTTAGTAGCCAATTAGTCACAAACACTGGCCAAAGTTAGTGTTTTTTGCATTTTTAACACACAAACAAATATAAATGCTAACTTTGGCCTGTGTTTATGACTAGGTGGCTACTAAAAAAGATTGGACATACCCCATTTTGAAAAAATATGTACATGTGAGGTGTGATTCGGGGATTTATGATAGATAACAGTGTTACAATGTCACTATTAATAAATTTAAAATATATATATATATATATTGAAACAACAATTTCCTACTTGTATTTATAGGCCTATAACTTGCAAAAAAAAAAGCAAGCATGTAAACACTGGGTGTTTTTGAACTCGGGACAACATTTTTAATCTATTTAGCAGTGTTTTTCATTAGCTTTTGTAGATAACTAAAAAAGAGTTTTCAAGTAAAAGTCCAAAAACATGTTTTTTTTTTTAAATTTTTTAAAAGTAATGGTATGTAAAGAAAGCCCTTCTTGTCCTGAAAAAAACAATATATAACTTGTATGGGAACCGTAAATGAGAGAAAGGAAAATTACAGGTAAACACAAACACCACAAAAGTGTCAAAACTACTTTGGTCCTTAACGTACAACATCGCAAAAACAGGCCGGTCCTTAAGGGGTTAATGCTGGATATCACAGATAGGTGTCATTTTTCAAAATGTATTACTGGCATTTATAAAG